GTGGCTATTACAAGTTATGTCCCTTATATGTCCCCTCCTATTGACCAATCAGTTTCCAGCTCTCAAATCACTTACATTTCCTTCAAACAAAATGGCGGCGCCCAGTCAAGACGATCTGATCAATAGTCAAGATCTACATTGTGATAAAACGGGTCTTGCTTCGCGAAGTGCATTAAATCTCGTGAACACCATGATTAAAAACATGAAAATATTTTTTTTAAATATCTGTTGACACCGTGTTGGCGGCACACATGCTTTGCAAATCTTGCAAGCGACCGAAATCTGCATGCATAGACTCGTTAGTCCAGCCAAAATATAATTCCATAATTCCATCCTAGTTCGGCAAGGGTGGAAACTGGCCTTTTATAGTCGATTAACTCCCTTGCCTCGCGAAAATGGTCGCTTTGATACCTCTTGATTGTGAGTGAGGGAATTGGTTTTAACGCCGCTGAATTCCAGTTATATCACGGCGTGCCAGCTTAATGTAGGAGGAAAGTGATTCAGGTCTCAGACGTTTACCACTTCGGTGAAACCCACTAGCGCGGGAATAGTGTTGACAAGCCTAGAAACATACTAGGGACGAACCGGGATTCAAGCCCACGATCATAGGTTTCTGGCGTGCCCAAGGGACGCAACTCTGAATTGCGGAGCCTTAGACGACTATGTGCCTTCTTAATTGTGAAGCGAGCGCAGTATAGCTACGCTGCAACCAACAATTGCTTATATCAGTATCGGAGAGGGTCTGTGTGTTTCTCGTGATGTGTCCTGTGACAGAGGCATTTCCTTGTGAAGGTACGTCAAGGGGCAAGTATATCATATGAAAGTTACAGCAACGTGCAAGGATTATGGATAGAAGGTAAGCCTAAAGTGAGGTATATGTCTTAGGCGTTGACCACTTTGGTGAAACCCACGAGCACGGGTGTGGTGCTGACAAACCAATAATTATGATAAGGTCGAATCTAGGATTAGAACCTACGATCATAGTTATTTGGCACGCCTAAGAGACGCAGCTTTGCACAGCAAATTGTGGCACTTAAGACGACTATGTTGCAGAAAGTCCATACATTGAAGATACGCGGGTGTTAATTCGAGCTAATACGGTATGTACAACTAAGAATAAATTGCAAAAAACTAGCTAATTGAATTCCTCATTGTAAAGCCAACTCCAAAGTTGCCGTTTTAAGAATAGGTCTAAAACGTCTCCCGTGTAAGACCGTGCCAGTTAATTGTAATTAAAGTATAACTTGATTGAATTAAGTACGTAAGCAGGTGGACACGATGTAAGAACGTGATTAACACTACAGACAAAGAGGGCTGGTGTCATCGTCCAGCTTTTTATCAATTGTTAGCTGAGGGTGTGATTATCACTTCAGTGAAAGGGGGCTTGGGTGAATGGCCCATTCGTGTGAATTTTAAATTCGCTGTTCAGAGTTACTCCCCTTTTGCGCGCAAGGATCCAATTACCGTAGGTTGGAATCCCAGGTCGGCCCTATGATAATCCTTTGTTTGTTAGCACCATACCCGTGCTCGTGAGTTTAATCAAAGTGGTAAACGTCTAATATCTACATCACTTTGCACTGACAGAAATAGTTTGTTAAGTTTACTAACGTACAGTAAACTACGGTTATAACGAACACGCTTATAACGAACTGACGGATATAACGAACTTACTTTTGGGTCCCGACTATTTGCTGTAGTTATACTGTGTATATACTTATAACGAACTACGGTTATAACGAACTAAAATAAGTAGTCCCTTTGAGTTCGTTATAACCGTACTTTACTGTATTTAATAAATTTCACAGTCCACACATACACTATAACATTCTTGTAGACTTTACTAATCAGTTAGTATGTTTTTGACGAGGTGGTCTATCTGAATAAGGTTTATTAGTAATCAGATATACTTTCAATATCAGCGTCCTGTATGAGAGAAATACTATTAGGCGTACACCAACAACACATTGATGAACACAAAGAAGTTTAAGTCTCGGTGGGATTCAAACCTGCAACCTCTTTATCTGTAGTCCGTCACGCTACCACCTATGCTGCGGAGACTGCTGTCGTTACAAGGGTCAATTTTCCATGTCACCATGAGGTGAGTCGAAATTGGGTTTAACGTCGCGTCCAAGATTATTGCACTTATATAGCGACGTGCATGCACGTGTTTGCGTGGCTGCTTGTACTAGTCCGGACTGATGCCGATTTATAGTGCTAGCTCACTGAGATACCATGCCAGTTTAACTTGGAAACCCCACTCAGACACAGTATACTGACTCCGAGCCGACCAGTTCTTGTTTTAGCCCCTTAATGCTGAGCGCCAGACAGGGTAACAACAAGTACCATCTTTTAACGTCTTTTGGTATGACGCGGCCGGGGATAGAACCCCGGACCTTCCGCTCTCCGGGCGGACGCTCTACCACAAGACCACGGAGGCGGCCTATGTCACCATGAGCGTGGTGTATTTGTGCATTTTAATGTTAATTGTACCAAGTTCGTTGCAAGCCCTGTTGGTATATGTGTAATGCAAGTAACTCTGAATCTGATTTGCACATCTAATTTCAATATAAATGTATATTATACGTCTCATCCATATTTGACTTATAGCCTGATAATATGCACTTTATTTAACATGTTTAAATTCTAAACATGTTTAAAGGTGTTTTAATTCTAAACATGTTTTTAAGGTGTTTTATTTCTACACATGTTTAGACAATGGGGATGTGTTTTGGTGGTGTTTAGGCTATGAGGCGATAGCTTATTTCATGTGTTTAAACCCCAATCGTGTTTAGATAGAACACACCCAAGGTGCATGCCGTTTTGGATGTTTACACTCCTGAATATGTCTTGTATGTGTTTACGTTCATAACATATTTTTACAGTGTTGTTTAAGTAGTGCATTATACTAATTTAATAAGTGATATTTACTAATCTTCAACATATGCGTGCAGTCTACCAGGCATGATAGTAAATTCGTTGTTTACTAACCTTCTGACTGCTGTTATTAATGACGTTTAAAGTAGAATTTCCTTTTTCTCAGTGTGGGCTTTCCGTTAAACAAAACCTACTTCATCCAAACTAAGGTCACAACTTCTCCTTTCGTCGAGACCCGTTAAGATCCGGGTTCGAAATGGTCTTCAGCAATCCATGCTTGTCGTAAGAGGCGACTTACGTGATCAGGTGGTCAGGTTCGCTGACTTGGTTGATGCATGTCATTGTATCCCATGCAATTGCGTAGATCTATGCTCATGATATCAATCACTGGATTGTATGGTCCAGATTCAATTGTTGACAGGCCGCCGTCATATAGCTGGAATATTGCTGAGTGCGGCGTTAAACTACAAACAATCTTTTCAGAGACGACGAGTCCATGTTTAAAGAATGAGCTGGGGAACGCCATCTCGGGTGCACACGTGTTGGGTGACTGACAGCGTGTAATATGAAGCTATGTGTAGGCTAGGCTGGGCTGATGACGGAACACAAAATGATAACAATCGGAGGCAATAGCCCGTGTTGTTATTGCTCGTTAAATATTGATGCCGCGCTACAAGCAGCTGAAACACACTGTCTACTTAAACGGAACTTTGGTAAAAAACAATGGCTTGTGAGAAAACACACATGGCGTTTGAGACATGCGTAAAAATCATTAACATTATTTATTAATAACTATGAAAATTTAGGTTTTAAAACCTTTTCAGCTCAGAACAACCATATATGTTATTTTTATACGGAAGATTTTACTACTTTAAACCAGTCGTTTTTCATTAAAAAATATGTACATGTGTAACAGTGCTTAGGCATTGAAAATACACCTGGTCAAATAGAACAAATAGAAAAATTGGTCCTAAACATTTGTTGATGCATTTAGAACACAATTCGACGAGAAATAAAATATACATTTACAATGTTTATATATGATATGTATATGTATATATAGAGGAAATTGGCGGATTCCACTTTTAGGAAATTCCCAGTTGTTTGTTTTCCGAGCTTTCGTTTTGGAGTTGTTGTTTTTCAGAAGTTTGTTACAGAAAACTGTCGTCACCAGGTCGTTGCGACTCGTGATCTATGTTTTGTACGTTAAAGGCATGCTCTTCTTCAACGTGTATGTGGTTAATATTGTCACGGCGTATGCAAATATAGGAATTTGTTTGAACACAGAAACAATTAAAAATGCGCGAAATACCAACTCGCTAGGAAAAATGGGTCTTTACTTATTAAGGTGAAATAAAATTGTGAGAATTAAAATTATGTAAGTAGTTAGTGTACATATATGTGAGTACTGGTAACTGCGGTGTCTCAGAAAAATATGAGTTTTTAAATAAAGAAGTGTTCGGGGGGGAGCTCATTTCTGTAATGGTCGCGAGTTACATATGGAGTAAGTTTATGAGAGATAATATATATTTGTGGGTATTAGGCCATCTTACAAGAGAATTTATCGAATAAAACACATGCCAGGGTTTCCTGATTATACGATTATCAAGTGCATGTTTACAGACAGTCTGTGTTTTATACAGCGTATTTAGCGAGATAAAATTATAAATGAAATTCACAAGTATGATTTAGAATATTCATGTGTCAGCATTTCCGTGCCTTCCTGCACACGGCAGACTGAATTATGAATCTACACTTTTATCAGCTATGTACAAGCTATTAATATGTCACCAGCTGTACGGCGTTTGATATTGACAACCCGTGGCACTGTCGGGAGAGATAGCACATTTTAAACACGTCCCTCTCATAAACGCGGGTTAGAATATTGCATTTTGAACAGATCTTTAATAAAATAACTTTGATAACTTCACCCCATTTTATTGGATTTTTATCTGACGTGTCATGGCTTTTAACACTGCAAGAAATAATCTGAAGAAGAGAGTTAAAATTGTCTTTCTCATGATGAGCTGGTCAACGTGGTGAAAACTTACACATCGACATCAGTTATCCCCCTTAGTTGGTCCACTTCGGCTAGGCGTCACCATTGACAGTATCGGTTTTATCGCGTGTGTTAGTCAGGCAGCGCTCGCAACGAAGTCATTTCAACAATTACCCATTGATTTTCCCATGAGTCACTCGGTTTGGGAGGAGAAGCGTAAATCCGACAGAACAGTCGTGTTGAGTGTGTGGCAGTGAAAGGGTTGATGTTGGACTACCTCACAAAAGTCGGAGACAATAACACAGGCGCTATGACGGGTAGACAAGGTAGGCGCGTTGACACATACTTGTATACTGTGTGCAGTGATAGCGTATAGCGGGGCTGCCAGGCAGCTCAGAGCTATTCGTATTGCTGGTATTTAGTCTCGATGTATGAAACTGTGGACAGATAACGATTTACTACAAAGGAATGATAGTAGCGTTATTAGAACCTTTTGTCCTTTTGGTAAATGGTGCTCAGCCCTATAGCACGGCATTGTGACAGTGCGCGTTATTTCAACCTGTCAATGTTTATATGAAATGTACATGTTACGCTTCTGTCCCTGAAACTAACGCTATGTTGTCAGTCCAGCATTGCAATGTACGAGTATTTAATTGTCAAGAACCGAAAACGAAAACACCTCATTATACCACCAATTACGCAAATATGATCCAGAAATAATCGCTTCTAATGATATCATTTCGGTTCAATAAATCATCTGAAAAAATGTTCAATGGAGATAACGGGTCATGTGTTCAATATTAAATGAAAAATATTGACGAATATTCAAATCAATCATTGAAGTGGCAGTGATAACATTTGAATTTGGTTTCGACATTCGATTGATATGTTTATAGGTTATACGATATGTGAGTCCATATATGTATTCAGTGTCATGTAGTGGATTTGTCACGTGTGATATTATTGAGGTTACACAGGCGGGATGAGCATGTCGCTTCCTTCTCGGGGCTCATCATGACGAAATCAAACAAGAACGTTTACTCACTTCCGCGTTGATTTCTATTGACATGGGAGCCAATTAGATTACAGGCTTGGACGTGGGTGTCTTGTAGCAGGTTACGTCCGAAAATACAACACGACTTGGCAGAACTAGCAACGAGGCCGCGTCTGTCTCTGGCTGCTACTGACAATGTCCATATCGAAGTGTCATAGCGATAGCGGCCACGTGTAAACGTATACAGAAAAGCGAAAGAAAACTGTCAGGCTCGTTTTAAAAATATTTTTACAGATTTAATCTGTATTGGGGATTACAATTTGAATTCCTTCTTTATCTCAGTGATAAACAGGTTTGTCTTTTGATGATGCCAAGCTAATAATGAGACCAATGTGCGATTATGTTGTCAGTGAGTAAAACGCAAAATGTTTACAACTGATTGTTTTATTAAGTGTTTACATCAGTAGTAGTGAGTGGGTTGGATTTCACGACCTTTGGAACGGTATATCAGTTCTATAGAGAGGCGTTAGAATGAGTTAGTGTGTATGGTTGTACGCTGCATTTAACAATATTCCAGCAATATCACGACGGGGAGCACTAGAAATGGATTCACACTTGTACCCATGTTGAAATCGAACCCGGGCCTTTGGCGTGGCGAGCGAACGCTTTAACCACTGGGCTACCCCACCGCAACCGTTAGCATGGGGTGACAGCGGAAGTTGACGCATGACATAGATGAGATTGACGCGTATTTCGTGCAGACAAAGGATCATACTCGGTATGACGTCAACCCACGATCAGCGGATCCTGCGGACGTTATTCTATACAACGCAATAACTCGCCTTTTAAAAGAAGAAATAGAACGAAATTAAATTACATTGCATTACATTATTTGACAGGTTCATGTATCGCAACGACACATTCAGTGCTGTTTAAGACAAGCTTAAAATCGCCCTGGGAAAGTGGACTTTTCTCCATGCAGGCGTCACGTCGATGCATGGAGTCTTAACCCAACGACACTGTCTATGATATGTTTTGATAAAACGCCAACGCACAGCCTCGGAGTTTATCAAATACATTCCGTCGGTGTGTAGCATACGCCCAGTGTTACAACATCGCCTATATAGATGCGACCTGCATGTAACACGTCGGCCGAATTACACAACTCGGGCAACAACATGAAAATGACCTGTTTGATAGTGGAATGTCGAGACAAAGATGGTTTGTATTTTCCTCCCTGCAATCGTTTCCCCATGGGAAATAATAATAAGCTATGACGTACTTCAACAGCCCTATACATGTATCATATGGATCATTGATGCGATATTATTGAATATGATTTAAAAAAAACAATAACCAGAAGAACACCTACACCAGTTTTTTATTAGATATAGTTGTTTCTCAATGCATATCGTGATATTGAGTGGAATGTTGGGTATTCTGTGCTGGAATACTCATGCTAACGTGACGATCGTTATTAAATATGTTTTATTTGCTTGTTCATATATGTGTATCTGATTAAGGTCGTCCATGCATTTGTCATGATACGTTTTCATGATAGTCCGTTTTGTTATTATTAAGTTACTGCCATTATAAAATAGCACCGCCACGTTACACAAAGTGTCTCGCGCCTCTTTCCTTGACTTGCAAGAAGGCTCGTCCCGGAATGACCCGAATATTTTCAAGAACGGAATTGGAGTTTTTTCCATAAAAGACCATTATGAAACAACTCCGTGTATTGTCGGATTCGCATATGACGAAATTCTCACTCTCTAACAGAAAGTTGAACCCTGTCCATGTGAAGATAGAATTCGGTGATGACGAACTGTTGTAAAGGTATCTTTTAGAACGTTATATCCGGAATTTGCCAACATAAACACATTGGTTTATCAATCTCTACAAGGAAATCTACATCCTCCATTATCCAGCTTATGCCTCCATTCCAAGGGCGGATCAAGCATTTTCAAAAGGGAGGGTTCGGAGAGGGGTCAAAGGGGGGAGGCCGGACCCCCTAGACGGCCCCGACCCCTCTGGATCCGCCCATACATCTGTTTTAAACATACCCTGGACTCATTCGCAACAGTAGAGCTTCGTTCTTCGTTTAAATCTCTGTCTTTACCAACTTGGCACAGGGGTGTTCTACGACCAATCAAAATGTCTCTCATGGACGAGCGTTCAGCATTGATCTACATTCAAAATCATGGCCTCAAAAGAGAAGAAGTTTGTAACTATAAATGATTTCTTGAGTATAAAGACAGGGGAGGGAACCCATTATGCCATCAGGCATTTGCAGTGGTATTTAAGACGCCACACAGCAAGGCGTGTCAAACACTACAAATGTCGCTGCTTGTTTCAGTTACAAAAAGACCCGTGACGATCCGGAGTAGAATAGGTCTTCAAGCAACCCATTCTTGTCGTAAGAGGCGACTAACGGGATCGGGTGGTCAGGCTCGCTGACTTGGTTGATGCTTGTCATCGTATCCCAACTGCGCAGATCGATGCTCATGATATCAATCACTGGATTGTGTGGTCCAGACTCGATTATTTACACATATTGCTGAGTGCGGCGTTAAACAACAAACAAGCAAAACAAACGATCATAAAAGATTAGGTTATATAATGTGATTGAACGGCAGATTTTCTCGCCGTGGCATTTGAACAGTGAAAGGGACCAGGGTGTGTATCACAACAAGACTGGAGGTAATACCCCGACTAATCGAGGATGCTTTCAACAAACAGCGTATTTCCGTGATTAGTCCGACAAGAAAACATTCGGTGTTCCCGGAATGACACACGAGGTCACGAATACTGTTTCAGTTGTTAATGTTTTCGGAACATACGTAGTTGTCAGAACAGTATCTCGGTGTTTTCCACAGACTTCCCGATGTATTGTCGGACCCCCTCCACCGCTTTAATGCTAGGAAGCTCACGTGATCAATACCGCCATACCCACGGCGTGTGCCAGCGTTCAAATTGAATTCTGTGTCGGAGTTTCGTCTTCGTTTAATGTGATTGCAAGCTCGTTTGCCATATGTGTGGCCGACTGTTTGTGGTATATTGAGTATACGAGACCTGGAAGTATTCCGGCAGCGTAATGTTGTTTATGTACGGCTGGCATATGTCTGTATTTTCCCGAGATTGTGTTTTTGTTGTAGGGTCAATGCACGTGTTCGCCCGTCTGTCTGACACAACAAACTAGGATATGTAGAACATATATATAGCAGGCATAGCGAGTGAGTTAGTGAGTGGGTCGGCGGACAGGCGAGCGAGTGAGTGGGCGAGCAGGTCAGGGGGGTACTGAGTGGGTAAATTTGTTTGTTTGTTGTTGTTTTACGCCGCACTCAGCAATATTCCGGCTATATGACGGGTCTGTAAATAATCGAATCTGGACCAGACAATCCAGTGATTGACACCATGAGCATCGATCAACGCAATTGGGATACGATGACATGCATCAACCAAGTCAGCGAGCCTAACCACCCTATCCCGTTAGTCGCCTCTTACGACAAGCATAGTGGGTAAGTAAGCGAGGGGATGAATGAGTGGGTTGTCGGGTGAGTCAGTGAGTGAGTGAGTGAGCAGGCTGGCGGGCGGGCGGGCGGGCTGGCTTGTGAGTATGTAAGTGAGCGAGTGAGTTTGGTTTAAGGCTGCTTTCGATAGTGGTGCCAGTCTTAGACGCTCACCACACTGTAGTAACCCACTAACACGTGTATTCGAACCAGCAATCATAGAACACTGGCATGCCCAAGTGACATTAATATTCACTACATTGAATCATATATGTCTTTGTCTGTATGTGATGAGAATATGGAAGGCATATATCTGTTATCGTCTGTATCTGATGAGATTATGGAAGGCATATATCTGTTATCGTCTGTATGTGATGAGAATATGGAAGGCATATATCTGTTATCGTCAGAGTCTGATGATAATATGGAAGGCATATATCTGTTATCGTCTGTATCTGATGAGAATATGGAAGGCATATATCTGTTATCGTTTGTATGTGATGAGAATATGGAAGGCATATATCTGTAATCGTATGTGTGTGATGAGAAAATGGAAGGCATATATCTGTTATCGTATGTGTGTGATGAGAATATGGAAGGCATATATCTGTTATCGTCTGTATGTGATGAGAATATGGAAGGCATATATCTGTTATCGTCTGTATGTGATGAGAATATGGAAGGCATATATCTGTTATCGTCTGTATGTGATGAGAATATGGAAGGCATATCTGTTATCGTCAGAATCTGATGAGAATATGGAAGGCATATATCTGTTATCGTCTGTATCTGATGAGAATATGGAAGGCATATATCTGTTATC